ACTGAATCCACTTACGTCATAATCAAACACCCAAGGGCATCAAAGAATAAAAAGGAAAATAAACCTATCCAAGGACAGCAGCATCAAAGGTTGAAGGAGCATCACTCCACACACAGAGATGAGAAAGAACCAGCACAAGAACTCTGGTAACTCAAACAACCAGAATGTCATTACCTTCAAACCACCACCTAGTTGCCCAGCAATGGTTCTTAATCAGGTTGAAATGGCTAAAACGAGTGACACAGAATTCAGAACACGAGGAATGAAGATCATCAAGATTCAACCAAATGTCGAAACTCAATCCAAGTAATCTAAGCAATACAACAAACTGATACAGAAGCTGAAAGATATAAGGGCCATTTTAAGAAAGAAGCAAACTGACCTGATAGAGCTGCACACTTCAAAAATTTCATAATATAATCACAAGTATGAATAGCAAATTCAACCAAACTGAGGAAAGAATCTCAGCTCTTGAAGACTGGTTCTTGAAATTAACTCAGTCAGAAAAAAAAAAGGAATAAACAAAACCCCTGAGAAATACAGCATTATGTAAAGCGACAAAATATATGATTCATTGCCATCCCTGAAAGAGAGGGAGGCAAAGCAAGGAAATTGGAAAACATATTTGAGGATAACAACCATGAAAATGTCCCCAACCTCACTAGAGAGGCCAACATTCAAATTCAGCAAATGCAGAGAATCCTGTGAGTTACTATACAAGATGATCATCCCCCATGACATATAGTCATTAGATTTGCCAAAGTCAAAATGAAAGAAAAAATGTTAAAGGCAGCAAAACAAAAGGGGCAGGTCACCTACAAAGGGAACTCCATCAGGCAAACAGCAAACCTTTTAGCAGAAACCCTACAAGCCAGAAGAGTTTGGGAGCCTATATGCAGCATTCTTTTAAAAAAAGAATACTAGGGGAGTGGCCAGGATGGCCGAATAGAAGCAGCTAGTGTGCATGGCTCTCATGGAAAGGAATGAAAGAAGTGAGTTAATACAGCCCTTTCAACTGAAATATCCAGGTACTCGCAATAAGATTAATCAAGGAAAAAACTTGACCCATGGAGAACAAAGAAAAGCAAGACAGAACAACAGCCCACCCAGGAGCAACATGGAGCCAGGGAAACCTCCCCTGACCAGGGAAGCAATGAGTGAATGTGTGACCCCAGGAAACCACACTTCTCCCACGAATCTTTGCAAACCTTGAGTCAGGAGATCTTGTGAACCCACTCCACCAGGGCCTTCAGTCTCACTGACAGAGCTACATGGAGTCTTGGCAGAGCTGTCACTCACACATGCATGGAAACCCTGGATCCTTAGATACTTCGGCTTTCCAGCAAAAGTAGCTGCAGCTCTGGCAAAGTGGAAGGTTAGACCCCTGTATGTATCCCTTGGAAAAAGGCTGAATCTAGGGGGCTAAGCAGCCAAAGCCTACAGTCCCCACTTTCACGGCACCTCTTAAGACCCACTGGGCTTGGAATTCTAGCCACTGGTAGCAGCACTGCACCTCTCTAAGGAGGAGCTCCTAGGGGAGGGACAGGCCACTATCTACGCTGTTTGGGCACGTTAGCCATTCCAGCCTCCAGGCTTTGGAGAGTTCGAGATGACGGAGGTGGAAAGGATCCCCCAGCACACATACAACTGCTCTACCAAAATGTAGCTAGATTGTTACTGTAAGCAGGTACCTGATCTTGTTCTTCCTTTGGGTAGGACCTCCCAAATGGGGACTCTAGCCATCCCTGCCTGTGTTCTCCAGCACAGATTTGAATTCTCCCTGGGATGATGCTCTCAGAGGGAGGGGCAGGTCATCATCTTTGCTGTTTGGGCAACTCAGCCATTCCTACCTTTGGGATTTGGAGAGTCTGAGCTGACTGGGAGCAGAAAAGACTCCCCAGAAATCACAGCTGCCCTACCAAAATGTGGCCAGACTGCTTCTTTAAGTGGGTTCCCCCAATCCCACTTCTCCTCACTGAGCAGGACCTCCCAACTGAAGCCTCCAGCACCCCTGCCTGTGTTCTCCAGCCAACAGAGAGCTGAATTCTTCCAAGACAGTGCTCCCAGGGGAGTGGCAGTCACCATCTTTGCTATTTGCATGAATTAGCTATTCCAGCCTTCAACCTTCAGAGTGTCTGAGGTAACCAGGGGCTGAAGTGGATCCCCAGCACAGCACAACAGAGCTGTTCTACCAAAATGTGGCAAGACTGCATTTTTAAGTGGGTCCCCAATCTTGCCCCTTCTTACTGGGTAGGACTCCCAACTGAGGGCACCACTCACTTCCTGCAGGTACATTTGGGCCAGCAATAGGCCTGTACCACCCTGGGACAATGCTCCCAGAGGGAGGGGCAGGCTGTCATCTTTGCTGTTTTGCAGGCTTCACTAGTAAAACCTCTAGGTACTGGAAAATCCAAGGGAAGTAGATACTGGAGCACACCCCAAACATATCACAGCAGCCCTATGGAAAATTGGCCATAGTGTTAAGTAGGTGTCCATTCCCGTATATCCTTACCAGACAGGTCTTTCAGGCTTGGGTCTCCAGCCACTGCCTCCCCTCCCCGCCCCACCACCAGAGCTATTGAGCAAGTAACAACTTGGCAACTCCCTGGACAGAGCCTCTAGGGACAACGGAAAGCCTCTCTGCCACTACCTCTGTAGTGGAACTGCCCTTGCTGGACCAATAAGGGAGCAAAGACCCTAAGTGTCTCATCCACACCAACAAGCTGTAGTCAACCCAAGTAGAGGAAGCCAGTATGTTTCCCATAGTTCTCACACACCCCACAGTGCTTGTGACCAGACAGGGAGCCCTTGGCTTGGGCCCACATCACAGACCCTCCATCCTGGGCTGATTGAACTGAGGGACTGCTGACTTCCATCTCTCTGGGTTGGAGCCCCCAGGAGACAAGAAAATGACCCTCAGCCACAACTACTAATAAAATCCCTTCTGCTGCTCCCTCCAACTTGGGAAAGGAACATAAACACTGAGATTGCCCCAAAGCTTCAGTGGGCAGCCCAGAAGTGCCAAACCACAATCTTCAGCCAGCATTCAAGAGGGAGAGAAACTCACACTTTTAGAACATTGAGAGAGAATATGGCTGCAATTGTGAGGAAACATACGGGAGCCACACAACCGAGCAAGAGTCTACCAATGAAAAGCCTAAGCCACCTGTGGGATCACACCCCAAAGCTTCAACATCAAAAATGCCTCACTAATATACCCATATCTGAAACCAGAGACAATAAGTCAGCTTCAAATAAAGACACTGCAAAAAGCCTTGGCCTGGTGAAAACATCCAAAAAAGAAGTCTGTTGACTATACTTAATTTACACTGCAGATAAAGGAACATCCACACACAGGGATGAGAAAGAACCAACGCAAGAGCTCCAGTAACTCAAATGGCCAGAGTATTGTATACCCTCCAAATGACTACACCAGTTCCCCAACTAGAGTTCTTAATCAGGCTATACTGGCTGAAATAACAGAAAAACAATTCAGAATATAGACAGGTACAAAGATCACTGAGACTCAGGAAGATGGCAAAACCCAATCCAAGGAAAATAAGAATCACAATAAAATGAGACAGGAGCTGAAGGATGAAATAGCTGGTATAAAAAAAGAACCTAATGAGTCTGACAGAGCTGAATAACACAATACAATATTTTCACAATGCAATTGTAAGTATTGACAGCAGAAGAAACCTGAATGACTTTGGGGTAAATAATGAAATTAAGACAGAAATCAAGAAGTTCTTTGAAAACAATGAAAACAAAAATACAACATACCAGAATCTCTGAGACACAGCTAAGGCAGTGCTAAGAGAGAGCTTCATAGCACTAAATGCCCACATGAAAAAGTTAGAGAGATCTCATATTAACAACTTACCTTCACAATTGAAAGAATCAGAGATGCAAGAACAAATCAGCCTCAAAATTGGCGGAAGACAAGCAGTAACAAAAATCAGAGCTGAACTGAAGGAAAACAAGACACACAAAAAACAATCAAAAGATCAATGAATCCAGGAGCTGGTGTTTTGAAAAAACTAATAAAATAGGCCACTATCTAGACTAATAAAGAAGAGAGAAAAGCTCAAAATAAACACAATTAGAAAATGACGAGGAAATGTTACTATTTTTCCCACAAAAATAAAAACAACCAAGAGAAACTGCTATGAACACCTCTACACACACAAACTAGAAAACCTAAAATAGATGGATAAATTCCTGGACACATACATCCTCCCAAGACTGAGCCAGGAAGAAACTGATACTTCGAGCAGGCCAATAATGAGCTCTGAAATCGAATCAGTAATAAATAGCTTACTGCCCCCCGACCCAAAAAAAAGACCAAAGTCCTGAAAAATTCATAACTGAATTCTACCAGATGTATAAATGAGAGCTGGTACCATTCCTACTGAAATTATTCCAAAAAAATGAGGAGGGGCTCCTCCCGAACTCATTCTGTAAGGCCAACATTATCTCAATACCCAAACCTGGAAGGTACACAGCAAAAAGAGGAAATTTCAGGCTAATATCCTTGATGAACATCAATACAAAAATCCCCAATAAAATATTGGCAAACCAAATCCAACAGCAGCACATCAAAAAGCTAATCCACCAAGATTGAGTAGGCTTTAACCCTCAATATGCAAGGTTGGTTCAACATATGCAAATCAATAAATGTGATTCATCACCTAAATAGAACTAAAGACAAAACCATAAGATTATCTCGATAGACACAGAAAAGGCAAAAATAACAGGTGCTGGTGATGTTGCAGAGAAAAGGGGATGCTTATACACTGCTGGTAGAAATATAAATTCGTTCAGACATCAGTCATTGTGGAAAGCAGTATGGCAATTCCTCAAAGAGCTAGAAGAAGAACCACCATTCGAACCAGCAATCCCATTACTGGGTATATACCTAGAGAAATATAAATCATTCTACCATAAAGACACATGCACACATATGTTTAATATCACTAAAATGGCTATACTTCCCACAGCAAAGAAAATGTGATACATATACGCCATGGTACTACACAGCTATAAGAAAGAATGAGGTCATTTCTTTTGCAGCAACATGGATCAAGCTGGAGACCATTATTCCTAAGTAAAATAATGCAGGAACAGAAAACCAAATATCACATGTTGTCACTTGTAAGTAGGAGCTAAACACTGACTACACATGGAAACAAGGAAGGGAACAACAGACTCTGATGTCTACTTAAGAGTGGAGCGTGAGAGGAAGGAGAGGAAAAAGCTAGCTCTCAGGTATTCTGCTCAATGCCTAGGTAATAAAATGATCTATACACCAAATGCCCATGAAATGCAATTTACCTAGTGAAAAACCTGCACATGTACCCTTGAACCTAAAACTTTAAAAAAGGAAATATTGCACTGAGTCTATAGGTCATTTTGGGTAATATGGACATTTTAACAATAAAAATTCTTCTAACCCATGAGCATGAGATATATTTCCATTCATTTGTCTGTTCTTCAATTTCTTTCATCAATGTTTAGTAGTTTTCAGTGTATAGAGGTTTCACTTCCTTGGCTAACTTTACTCCTAAGTATACTATTCTTTTCTGATATAAATGGGACTGTTTTCTTAATTTCTTTTTTTGGATAGTTTATTTTTAGTATATAAAAATGTAACTTATTTTTGTATGTTGATTTTGTATCATACAACTTCACTGAATTTATTAATTCTAACCATTTTTTGGTAGACTATTTAGGGTCTTGTACATGTAAAATAATTTAATCTGCAAATAGAGATCATCGAACTTCTTATGTTCTAACTTGGATACCTTTTATTTATTTTTCTTGAATAATTGCTCTAGCTAGGATATCCAGAATGATGTTGGGTAGAAGTGGTGAGAAGGGACTCCCTTATTATGTTCTTGATCTTAGAGAGCTTTCAGCTTTTCACCACTGAATATGATGCTACCTGTGTGCTTGTTATATGTTGAGGTACATTACTTGTTATTATGCTGAGGTACATTACTTCTATACCTTAATTGTTGAGAATTTTTATTATGAAAGGATGTTAAATTTTGTAAAATGCTTTGCTAAGCTTCTTGAATCTATACATTTAGTCTTCCCCCAATCTAAAAATCTTTAGTTATTATTTTGTCAAATGTATTTTCTGTACTAATCTCTCCCTCCTCTCCTTCTAAGACTCCAATAACACAAATTCATATCTTTTGCTCAACATTTTTAATTTTTTTCCTGTTCTGTTCTTCAGATTTGATCATTTCTATTGATTTACTTTGAAATTCATATACGCATCTCTATCAGTTCCATTCTGCTTTAGAGCTTCATCTAGTGAATGTTTTATTACAGACATTATACTTTTAAATTTCCATGGTTTTTCCTGAAGATTTTATTTCTCTACTGAGAATTTCCATTTTTCTATTCATTTCAAGAATTACACCTTACATCATGGAGCAAGGTTATAATGGCCGCTTTGATGTCTTCGCCTGATCATTCCAACATCTGAGTCATCTCACAATGAGGATCTTGGTTCCTTTGAGAATTGGTCACATTTTCCTGGTTCTTTGTAAGTAAAGTAATTTTTGTTTCAATCTAGAATATTTTATTTTTTTTAGAAATGGTATCTTGCTGTGTTGCCCAGGCTTAAGTATAGCTGCTATTCCCAGGTGCAATTACAGTGTACTACAGCCTTGAACTCTGGTGTCAAGTGACCCTCCTGCCTCAGCTTCCTGAGTAGCTTGGATTACCGAAGTGTGTCACCATGTCTAGCTATCCTGTATGTTTTTAATTTGATATTATTTTAAAAACGAATGACAGCATCTTTCCTCAAAATGCAGAGAGACTAGAAGATACAAACATGTAAGCCAGTAGCTACGACACATTGATAAATACTGTATGAAATGAATTGTGTCCCTTCAAAATCCACACGTTGAAGTCCTATCCCAATATATCTGTATTTCAAGATAAGCAGTATAAGGAGTTAATTAAGGTGAAATGAGGTATAAGAGTGGGGCTTTGATCCAGTAGAATTATAAGAAGAGACACCAAAGAGCTCTTATTCTCTGTCTCCACCAAGTGAGAAAACAGAAAGAAGATGACCACCTACAAGCCAGAAAGATAATATGTGCCAGAAAGCAAATCAGTCAACATTTTGATCTTGGACTTCTAATCCTCCAGAACTGAGAAATAAATTTCTGTTACTTAAGCCTCTCAGTCTATAGTATTTTATTATAGTACTCTAAGAATATTTAAAGAGGTTATTATTGGACTTAGTCTACCTTTCCTAACATCCTAAGTTCAGTAAGATTTTTCAACAGTAGCTCTTATAGGCAATAATGTGGAAAAGTGTATCGTACTCTAAAAGATTAAAGATAAATAAAATCTATATTGTATCAGAAAGATCAAATAGAAAAATAAGGGAAGTTTTCTTGAGAAATTTACTGAAAATAAAAATATATACAGCGAAGAACAAAGAATTCAATAATACATAGTAGAGGTAGAAGAAAAGCCAACTGTAGGAAAAGCTTATTAAGAACTGATCAGATAGATGAAAATAGAGAGAAAACAGAGGAAGAATACAGCTGAACTGGACAATGAAATGGTTAATAGTGTCAACGGGTAATAAACACAAGGAATAGATCTCAACATGCTTAAGTAGAAAAGAACCTTGTATTTACAATAAGACAAGATAAATTAACAGACAAGAGAAAGAAATAAAGGGCATCCAAACTGAAAAGTCAAATTATCCTTGTTTGCAAATGATATGATCTTGTATTTGGGATAACCTAAAGAATTCACCAAAAAGCTATTAGAACTGATAAGCAAATTCAGTAAAGTTACAGGATACAAAATCAACATACAAAAAGTCTGTAGCTTTTCTATATGCCAACAGTGAACAACCTGAAAAAGAAATCAAGAAAGTACTATTATTTATCATTGCTATAAGTAAAATACCTAGAAATAAACTTTACCTTTACCTTTTCTTTTCACAAAGAAGTGAAAGATCTCTGCAATGAAAACTACAAAACACTGATGCCAGAAATTGAGGAGGACATAAAAATTTGAAAGATATTCCATGTTAGTGAATTGGACTAATATTTTTAAAATGTCCATACTACTCAAAGCAATATACAGATTCAATGTAATCTCTATCAAAATACCAATGACATTTTTCAAAGAAACAGAAAAATCAATCCTAAAATTTATATAGAAACACAAAGACCCAGAATAACCAAAGCTATCCTGAGCAAAAGGAACAAAACTGGAAGAATCACATTTCCTGACTTAAAATTAGATGACAGAGCTATTATAATCAAACTACCATGGTACTGGCATAAAAAGAGATCTATAGACCAATGGAACAGAATAGAGAATGCAGACATAAATCTATAAACCTACAGTAAACTCATTTTCGACAAAGGTTCTGTGAATGTACACTGGGGAAAAATCTCTTCAATAAATGGTGCTGGGAAAACTGGTTACCCATATGCAGAAGAATGAAACTAGACCCCTCTCTCTCACTGTATTCAAAAATCATATCAAAAGGGATTAAAGACTTAAATCTAAAACCTGGAAGTAAGAAATTATTCAAATAAAACATTGTAGAAACTCTCAGGGACATTGGACTGGGCAAGGATTTCTTGACTGACACCCCATAAGCACAGGGAACCAAAGCCAAAATGGACAAGTGGGATCACAACAAGTTAAAAAGTTTCTGCACTGTAAAGTAATCAACAAAGTGAAGCAATAACCCACAGAATAGGATAAAATATTCACAGACTACTCACCTGACAGGGGATTAATAAGCAGAATACATAAGGAACTCAACTCATTAGGAAAAAAGCTAATCAGTCAACTTAAAATTAGACAAAAGATCAGAATAGGTATTTTTCAAAAGAAGACCTACAGATGGCAAACAGTATATGAAAAGATTCTCAAAATCATTGGTCATCAGATAAATGCAAATCAAAAGTACAATGATATATTATTTCACTCTGGTTAAAATGGTTTTAATCCGAAAGACAAGCAATAATGAATGCTGGTGAGGGTGTGGAAAAAAGGGAACTCTTATATACTGCTGGTGGGAATGTAAATTAGTACAGCCACTATGGAGAAAAGTATAGAGGTTTCTCATAAAACTTAAAATTAAACTACCATATGATCCAGCTATTCCACAGCTAGATATATACCCAAAAGAAAGGAAATCAGTATACTGAAGAGATATCTGCACTCCAATGTTTATTGCAGCACTATTCACAATAGCCAAGACTTGGAAGGAACAGACAAATGAATAAAGAAAATGTGGTAAATATACACAAGGGGGTACTATTTATCCATAAAAAGAATGAGATCCTGTCATTTGCAAAAACATGGATGGAACTGGAAGACGCTATGTTAAGTGAAAAAAGCCAGGCACAAAAAGACAAACTTTGTTCATTTTCACTTATTTGTGAAAACTAAAAATTAAAAACAATGAAACTTATGGAGATAGAGAGTAAAATAATGATTACCAGAGGCCAGGGAGGGTGGTGAGGGTGGGGGGCAGTTAGTGGGCATGGTTAATGGGTACAAAAATATAGTTAGATAGAATAAATAAGATATAGTATTTAATTACACAACAGAGTGACTACAATCAACAATAATTCATTGCACATTTATAAATAACTAAAAGAGTATAATTGGATTGTTTGTAATGCAAAAAAAAAAATAATGCTTGAAGTGATGGATACCCTATTTACGCTGATGTGATTATTACACATTGTGTGCCTATATCAAAATATCTCATGTAGCCTAGTATATACTTATAAAAGTTAAAAATTTTAAAAATGAAATCCATCAGAATAAAGTCATTTAAAATATCTATCAATAAATAAAGCTAAAAATATAAATAACATTTGAAAAAAGATAATCAACAATTAAGAATACATCTTCTCAAGATGGAACGCTTATTAAAAGTAACTATAAACTAGGCTTTTAAGTAAGTCTTATAAATTTCAACAAAATCTCCCATACAAACCAAATTCTAACTATAACTCAATTAACACAGAAGTAAATATGAAAAGGTAAAACCTCCTATTTTCAGAAACATAAAAAATAAACTTCCAAATTACTCATAAGACAAAGAAA